GCCCCGCTGCCTGGTGAATGCTTTGAAGGTATTCAGGTTCCAGGCACCATCCAAAAATGAGACCAAACTAAAGAGCATCTGCAACCCCCAGAAGTGCCAGATTCATGTGTGACTAAAGAGATCGAACAGGCGGGGGTGTCAAAAAACTAACAAGGCCGTGCCTCCCATGTGACGTCGGTCTTGTTGGCTGGAGATGTTGTCCTTCCTGGGTGTCAGTTCCTGGTCCAACGGAGTGGCACAGCAAGTTGTAATGTCCCAAAAATGGACACATTTCACAGGTTCACTTTGTTTCTCTGCTATGGTTTCTTCGTGCTTCTGCTTGCGTTTCATGCAATGCCACTTGTGGGCACCACTGAATTATGTATGTTGCGAATGCCTGTGAGATAGCTGGAGAAGGACTCCAGCATCAAGCTTTTGTGGAGTGATTTGTCAGAGTTCCTCCTGCACCAAAGCAACAGCGGCCTAAAAACACAAAAGGAAAAACCTGTGTTTGCAACATAGTTTATTCGCACTGAAGTGGAGAACGTGGCAAACGGATGCAATGTAGGGATGTCATTGAAACATATTGAAACACTCATGCAGCTTCTTGCAGGTCTCCTGCAAGAAGCGACCAAGTCAAAGCCATTCATCTTTCAAGATCCTCCACCGGGCATAAAGAGTCTCACATCGGCCTCTGCTCTTGGGGCAATTTGTCAGATGCCAAGGATGGCCATTCCCCCAATGCCATCCCAACGTGCTGACAAGAACAGCTCCAAATGCAAAGGCATCTTCTTCCAATTCTCTTCTTGAGCTTCAGTCCAAGAAAAGCCCTCGTGTCGCAGCAGATATTGATTCACGACACATGGGACACCGACGCATGCGCTGGCCACTCGGGCAGTCGCGGCAAATCACATGGCCACAGGGCACGAGGGCGACACCTGGACGATGCTCGTGGCAAATGGGACAGGTGATCAAAGTGCCTCCAGGCATCGGCTTCTCCACGCGGCAAGCTTTTGCATTCCAATTGCCTTGCAGCTCAAGGAACACTCGCAAATCCGGTTTCCCTCCATTCATCATCAATTGAATCATCCATCCAAGCATCACGGCCAGTAGGACAGCCATCAGGATCAGTGGGCCGGCGTTCGAATTCAATAATATATGAGCGATATAATCACGATGTTTTTTGTACGGATATCGCACTCCATGTAAGAACACATATGGAACTCCCACTCCCTTCAGAAATCCCAGTTCGGCCATCTGCTTCTTGAATTTCTTCACCACCAGTTCTTTGCCCCCATCCCTGTCGCACAGGTCTTGGATCTCAATGGTCAAGCTGCAATTAAGCTGCCACTGCTCGGCCGCTTGATTGCACTTCTGCATGAACTCCTCCATGGTTGCCGCCACAAAGTTGTCGGCCAGCCTTTCTGTTTCAGCGCGATAGGCCGCCTGGTCAGCGGCCTGCATAGCGCGGTAGGCCGCCTCAGACTCCGCGGTCTTCTGGGCCAACTCCTGACAGAACATTGCTGAAACGAGCCTGGTGTCGATGATATCTGTTGACAAGTGAAAACCACAGACTTGGTCAAAGGGAGCTGCGGCGACGGACTCTCAGCTGCAGCTACTGCATTCTTGATTCCAATGACGAATGCCCCTAGGTTCCACCAACAAAGCCATAGGGGGCCTGCAACCGCGCTTAAATCCGCTTAAACAAACACCTTGTTCTCCATCTCGCTCAAGCGTTGACTTTCTTCAGAGTTGAATCACGGGGCCGGGCTGGTGTGAGTCAACAAGTTGTCGCAAGGGTCGCGCGACAAGTCCAACAAACAAAACCAAAATGTGAGTCCAATATGAGGGTGTTCTGGCTGTTGGCCAGCTTCCAACACGCAATTCCACAACTCATGTCATGTCCGAAGATCCTCGAAGTATGAGCTGTTTCGCTGGGGAAGGCGCTGACATTCCACCTGGCGGCTCCGCATGGTTCTTCCAAGTCGGATGCACAATCCATCCAAACAATGGAGAAACAAATAAGTTGCCATCTTTGATTTGGCAAATGCACCTGGCTTCAAAAAATATTGACGGGCATGGTTAGTATCAATACTGCACTACCTGGAAAGGAGTATACACACGCGCAACGCACTCTAACTCTATGTTGCAAGCTCTCTCAGCAACCACACCGCCTTCACTGAACCTCCAAAGCAGTGGCTCAACCAACGACGGGTTTTATGTAGACCGGTCCAATCCAGCGAAGAAGCACACGACAACGATTGGGTACACCACCCAAGGACGACGTTGCCAATTCCACCCACCCGGCCTCAACGCACCCATTCTCACCGATTCTCACCATGCCCTGGAAGTGCCGATGAAGCCCCACTGCCTGGTGGCTCCCCTTGCATGAATGCTTTGAAGAAAGCTTGCAAGTTCCACGCACCAACCAAACTGGGTCAAACATGGCCAAACTACACAGCACCGGGAATCCCATACGGTATTGGCACTTCTTTGTATCGTTCCAAATCTGCCAGCGAATGGCCATAGAACCCCAATTGCATCCTCAATGGTAACCCTGAACCCACAAAACTATAACTATCGTCAAGGCTCTGAGACTCTCTTAAACCGCTTGTCATCGGCCGACCAGCGTCTTTTGAGTCTGGTGAAGTTACGAATAAACCGTTTCAGGATTCAGGGACGCTCCAATCTCTCAACGTTACTTTTAAGATCCCCGGCCTCCAAATTGTGAAGCCTTTCACAAGTGCCTGGTGGCCCTGCTTCAAAGATTGTTTGAAACAAAACGTCTAGTGTTTGGCACATTGTCAAGGGATTACATCACAAGCGGTACTTCTCATGGCTGCTCAAAAAACTGAGGAAATATAATCTATTTGATGATTTGTGATAGTCACTATATCGATCTTCTTTTGTTTCTTCCAAATCTCCAGAGAGCAAAATATGAAACAACTGCAAAGAACTGCTTGGCACATCACCACGCGCCGAAGACCTGGAAACCCCCCTGGATTTCTACCATGCTTTTTACACAGGCTGGGCGCCTTGTAAAAAGTCACACGGACCCCCCTTCGATGTCCATCTCCGACACTTTCAGGTACCCGGCCTTCAAGCAGTTTGGCACCTGCAGGAGCGAAGTCCAATGTTGCACGGCGGCTGGGGTGTTGGATCACTGTTGGTCCAAACAAAAACACGGGTCACAAGAGTGGGTCTCCAGGCAGAATGACCCACCAGCGCACCCGATCAAAACAACAGAACTTTGCGACTGTTCAATTGGACGAACTGCCAACTCCAAAACTTGGCATGTCTGTCCCAGCTGGCCATTCTGCGGGCAAAGCACTGCATGATATGAAGACACTTCTCATGATTATTCTGAATGCACTGGCTTGCGGGTGGGGATCGTTGGTCTAGAATGCTGTATGTAATACAGTAAAATGTACAGTAATAAGAAGTAAGGATCAACCATCCTGCAGACGCCTGATGATCTTCATCTAATTTTGTGGGAGACCTGGTTCCACATAGCCCTCCATCGGAGTCCCAGATTAACATCCAAAGAGTGAGCCCAAAAGGATCAAAGGATATCATGATACATAATGTGTTTAAGTTATGATTAGTAAATCGATGTAATTAACACGTTTTTGGTCCTGGTCAAGTGCATGCGAACCAAACGCATAGTCCGCATAGTGGTACATGTCAGTAGTAGAGTCTTCGGTTCTGCAATGACAACAGAATGCTGCAAAGTGACGAGGCACATCTACCAGGCCCTAAGGAAAAACATCAGCAAGCGGAACCTCTTCACCAACCTCGCATTCCACGAAAACCCCACTGCGCCTCTGTGGAACATGAACTTGCATCTCCAGAATCTCCTGGAAAAGCAGGGCTTGGATGAGTGGCAAAAGGATGATGATGCGACCATTCCTCTTGGCCAGTGGCGAACCCCAACTACTCAAGTCGCAAACCTGTTGATTCTTCTCTACTCACTGTCTACTTACGCAAAATGAGCAAACGCGTTGGATTTCACAATGCTATGATGTCTGCCTGGCTCTTCAATGACATTTGTGGGCACCGATGAAATCACTCGCAAAATAGCTGGACGATAGACCTCCAGCGTGAGGTGTGTGTAGGTGTGTGAAAGAACATGCAAACATACCGACAAATACCTTCTGACGCTCGAATTGAATCCTCCTGCACCAGAACAGCAAAATGCGCATGTTGCTCAAGTATGCTTGGGAAGACCAATATAAGTAGACATTTTAGACCTTTGTTCTGGCTGCCAGCAGAAGGATGCACTGGGAAACTCGTTCAGCTGAGAAGCAGGTCTTGCATGCATCAAGTGACCAAGTATGACTAAATGAATGCAATCCAGCTCTCAAAACTTCTCCCTGTTCAAGGAGAATTCCTCACGGCATCTCATCACTCGGCCTCTGCTCTTTGGGCAATTGTCAAATGCCAAGGATGGGCATTCCCCCATACCATCCCAACATGCTGAGAGGTTCCAAAATGCAAAAGCATCTGACCTCCTTCCTTTTCTGGCGTCAGCCTCAGTCCATGAAAAGCCCTTGTGTAGCGGAGTGCGTCGGCTTCCTACACATCGGGCACCGGGGAAGCTGCTGGCCCTGCTGGCAGTTGCGGCAAATCACATGGCCACAAGGGATCAACGCCACGGCAGGACGGTGCTCTTGGCAAATGGGGCAAATGATCTGGGTACCTTCAGACATGCTCTCCTCCGCACTGCAGGTTGCTGCATCATCCGCCTTCCAACTGGCAGTCAGGTTCAGGAACTCCCTTTGGAACACCCAGCTCGGCCATGTGCTCCGTAAACTTCTGCAGCACCAGTGCCTGTCCCCTGTCCCGAAGCGCGACGGCACAGTCGTGTAATCTCCACTGCCATCGAGAAGTCTTCCTTCCCAAGCTTAGCAGCAGCTTGGCATTCCTTCTTGAACTCCTCCATCTTCTTTAGCACCAAATCATTGGCGAGTCTCTCCGTCTCCCGCTTCGCCTCGGCGGCGTCCCTGGCCAATTGCTGCAGGAACATGGCAGGAAGCAGAATTCTGGCTTCAAAAACGGTTTCAATGATGTCTAGTTGCAACTGCGCTAGGCAAACTTGAGCCAAACCAGGCAAATAAAATGTTAAGCGAGGCACTGGAGCTACGGCGCTCATCCTTTGCTCAGGGTCTTGTGGGCTTAAATCTTGCGCATCTCATTCATATATATATATATATATGTGTGTATACATAATTATGTACATTAAATCCAACTTGCACAAGGTGTCGGCCGAAACCTCTCCTTAGGATGGCATGGAGCCCCACCAGCAGCAAAGAACTCGAGGCTCACACGGCCTCACGATGCAGTCGCAGAAACAAAAACGATAGGGAACAGGGTCTTCCTACTCTACCACCGTGACCATGCGCGTTCCCTGGAAGGCTGGCATGGCATCCTCCGTCTTGTTCACAGGTTTCAACACCCATGGTTTTGAGAAGTCATTTCAGTACGAAGATCGGCCATCAACGACTGCATGGGAACCACTTTATGTCTTTCTGGAGGTACCAGTACTTGAATGTTCAAAGTGGGAAGAAGTTCAAGGCTTGCACCGTGGAGCAATCTGGTATTTTCCATATGAGCGCGGAACAACATCTGTGTTTGGTTCATTCCTCACAATTAGTCTGCATATAGTTGCCTGTTCTAGGCTGAGGCTGAGGCCATCATCAGTTGTGCAGGTTTGGTGCCAATGTTAAAAGCTGACACTTGACCCAATTTCCAACTGATATGTGGGATTCAACTCATTCGAAAAGAAAACACTCCCATCAGATCTCTTGTAAAGCAGGAAATGCGGAATTGTCGTGAACATTAGTGTGTGGACGCGCGGGATTGTAGTTCAATGCATAATGTTGTAGTGTGGGAGCATGGGATTGTAGTTCAAAAAATATGTATAAAATTATATATATATATGATATTAGACTTGTGCGTGGGAGAAGCAAGATCAAGTCACTATCAAACATCTCCTCTTCCACGCTGAAAATTATTGAGAGGAAGTTGTCCAAGTTTCGACTCCAACCTTCCCCGCTAGAGACTCGGCCTTCAAGCCAATCTCTTTGGCCTCCAGCCAATGAGGTCTTGGGTTGATGCAGTGGTCGACAAGCTATGGCACGTCGAAGCTGTCCAAAGTCAGCCTGCGCTGCGGTGCAAAAGGGTGTTCTTATCCGCTGCTTATCTGGAATATAAAATAGTTTTAGCTACCAGCAGGCTCTGTGTCACGATGGGGACCAATGCATCATGGGCCTGTTTGTGTTCTGGTTCTGCAACGCCTTGTCTGCACCTTATTATTCCTGGTGTCGGTTTTAACTTTACAAGAAAATAATAAACATACGGGCGGAGCTGGCTGGATTGCGAGGGGCTGCAAAAGCATGTTACAAAGACGGTGATCGCCGATCGCGCGCAGTAGACATCCGTTAGAGCTTCAACATCATCCAAACTCAGACCGGCCAATTATGGCTCATTATATAACTCTGTTGAAAGTCCGCTCATTGCAAACGTAAAAGGGTGTGCTTTCTCTCAACACAATCGTAAGTTTATGCTTCAAGCTTATCTACCATAGAGATCCATAGAGGTTGGGCCTCTTTATCAAGTGGACAAACACCGACGCTTGCGGACAGAAACGTGTAGCAGTGTGAAGAACATCAACGTTCCATATAGTTGCCCAAAGTTACCCAAAGCTCCCTCACTCCCTCGCAAAATGAGAAGAGCACAAACAAGCATCAAATGTTGACAGGGCTACATCAGCTCCTATGGGTTCATCCGCCTTTCTGACGCAGGAATATCCATGGTACCGGAAGTGCAGTTCCCGCCCACAGCCATATCGACATGATCCAACATGTGAACACGTTGGTGCAAATGGTCCAATATGGT